TTTAGAACAAAAGTGTCCAGAGATATTTTAGAACACCAGTGTCCAGAGATATTTTAGAACACCAGTGTCCAGAGATATTTTAGAACACTAGTGTCCAGAGATATTTTAGAACACCATTTCCAGAGATATTTTAGAACACTAGTGTCCAGAGATATTTTAGAACAAAAGTGTCCAGAGATATTTTAGAACACCAGTGTCCAGAGATATTTTAGAACACCATTTCCAGAGATATTTTTGAACACCAGTGTCCAGAGATATTTTTGAACACCAGTGTCCAGAGATATTTTAGAACAAAAGTGTCCAGAGATATTTTAGAACACCATTTCCAGAGATATTTTAGAACACTAGTGTCCAGAGATATTTTAGAACAAAAGTGTCCAGAGATATTTTAGAACACCAGTGTCCAGAGATATTTTAGAACACCAGTGTCCAGAGATATTTTAGAACACCAGTGTCCAGAGATATTTTAGAACACTAGTGTCCAGAGATATTTTAGAACACCATTTCCAGAGATATTTTAGAACACTAGTGTCCAGAGATATTTTAGAACAAAAGTGTCCAGAGATATTTTTGAACACCAGTGTCCAGAGATATTTTAGAACAAAAGTGTCCAGAGATATTTTAGAACACCATTTCCAGAGATATTTTAGAACACTAGTGTCCAGAGATATTTTAGAACAAAAGTGTCCAGAGATATTTTAGAACACTAGTGTCCAGAGATATTTTAAAACAAAAGTGTCCAGAGATATTTTAGAACACCAGTGTCCAGAGATATTTTAGAACACTAGTGTCCAGAGATATTTTAGAACACCATTTCCAGAGATATTTTAGAACACTAGTGTCCAGAGATATTTTAGAACAAAAGTGTCCAGAGATATTTTAGAACACCAGTGTCCAGAGATATTTTAGAACAAAAGTGTCCAGAGATATTTTAGAACACCAGTGTCCAGAGATATTTTAGAACACCAGTGTCCAGAGATATTTTAGAACACTAGTGTCCAGAGATATTTTAGAACACCATTTCCAGAGATATTTTAGAACACTAGTGTCCAGAGATATTTTAGAACAAAAGTGTCCAGAGATATTTTAGAACACCAGTGTCCAGAGATATTTTAGAACACCATTTCCAGAGATATTTTTGAACACCAGTGTCCAGAGATATTTTAGAACACCAGTGTCCAGAGATATTTTAGAACACCAGTGTCCAGAGATATTTTAGAACACCAGTGTCCAGAGATATTTTAGAACACCTTGTGTAGTTTGGTCCTTGCCAATTAAGCCTCAAAGTTATTTTCAATTTTCCAAAAAAAAAAAATTGAACAGTTCTCAGATTTGCGCCTGTTGGTACACTAAATAAAATACCATATTAAATGGCTAGGCGATTCACTCAACACAAGCAATACCATTTATTTTGCTTGTTGGGTTTTTCTAGACACCCATCATACACGTGGGTTTTAGACACCAATCATACACGTGGGTTTTAGACACCAATCATACACGTGGGTTTTAGACACCAATCATACACGTGGGTTTTAGACACCAATCATACACGTGGGTTTTTCTAGACACCCATCATACACGTGGGTTTTAGACACCAATCATACACGCGAAGAACAAAGGAAGCAGTGTTTTTTCCAGACTTTTTACTCGGGGTGGGGGGGGGGGGGTCATAGCGTAGTTGGAGTGATAGTTATAGGAGTAGTCATAGTAGGCATCATATAGATTCAAATAGCAACGGGGTGGGGGGCACTTGATGGGTTTTTATTTGGGTGGGGGGGGGGGGGTGCGGACACTGGTAAAAGTATATATTTTTTATATAAATTTCCATTTCGTTCGCCGCCCCCCCCCCCTATCCTAAAGAGATGCCTGGAAGATACACTGAAAGGAAACATAAAACAACTTGTAATCCTCTATTGATGGAAACAGGGACTGGCATCTAGGCGATTTAGTCAATCTTAAAGTTTAGGGGAGCCTATTTCTAATAATAGAAACTTTGTGGAACTATATCTAGATAAGGTAAACAAAAAATCTTTTTCAATGCTAGAGAGCAAACAATTTTTTCTCTATGACCTTTTAAAGGTACATCCGCATATGTGTTTCCATAAAAAAAAATAAACCGGGAGTGATCTCCCCTAAACTTTCTCGAATATTCTTATATACGGGGGATGACAACTCTAAATAAAGACATGATTTTTAATCCATTTTTAATTCCTTAAACTTTTTAAAATAGAATAGAACATCTCGAAGAAAAAAGAATTGCGCAACAAGTGAACGCAAAACAATCTGTGTATAATAGTGCAGAATATTGTTAGTACTGTATAAATTCACATCCGTTTTTTGAGAAATCCGAAATAGCGTAATTCAGAGGCATAGCGACCCTTCCCGGCACCCGGGGACAAACTTTCAATTGCCCCCCCCCCTATATATTTTTATATTTATAATTCAAAACTGCTGCTAAAATGAGCTTTTAATTTTTTTAAACCCATTTTGGCCCCCCCCCCCCATAGGGTTGGCGCCCGGGACATATGTACCCCTCCCCCCCCCCCCCGCTCCGTCTCTGGGGAAATTTACTATTTCCGGTCAACGGAAATTACTCAAAATTTGACAGAAGTCAGAGAATTAAATTTTACTTATTTGTGAAAAATTAAGTATTATATCAAATTTGTAGATCCGTATCAACTTTTCAGAGATTTCGGATAACCAGAAGTGGGACTTTTCTACTTTGAATTTTTCAAAAGCCTATAACTTGAGTGCTATTTTAGATAGATAAATAAAATTTCACACGTAAGTAAAAAATCTAATTATCTGCCTTCTATAAAAAAAACCGCATGTGAATTTATAAAGTACAATAATATTCCGCACTATTATATACATTTTACTTGGTGTTCGCTTGGTGCGCAATTCTTTTTTCTAAGAGCTTCTATTCTATTTTTAAAAGTTTAAGTAATTAAAAATCGTGTCTATATTCCGAGTTGCAATCCCCCGTAGTGTTATATAAGAATATTCGAGAAAGTTTAGGGGAGATCACTCCCGGTTTATTTATTTTTCGCGATTACAATACTTCCTCTATACTTTGTATACGAGAAAGTGAAAATGGTGGGGAAATCTTGGTAACTATGACAACGGTGTCCATCTTTAAAAAAAATCGGTTAGAGATTAAAGTAAGGTTAAACATTGGGCTAGACATTAAAGCAGAGTTAAACATCGGGCTAGACATTAAAGCAGGGTTGAACATTGGGCTAGACTTTAAAGCAGTGTTAAACATTGGGCTAGACATTAAAGCAGAGTTAAACTTCGGGCTAGACATTAAAGCAGGGTTGAACATTGGGCTAGACATTAAAGCAGGGTTGAACATTGGGCTAGACTTTAAAGCAGTGTTAAACATTGGGCTAGACATTAAAGCAGGGTTGAACATTGGGCTAGACTTTAAAGCAGGGTTGAACATTGGGCTAGACATTATAGCAGTGTTAAACATTGGGCTAGACATTAAAGCAGGGTTGAACATTGGGCTAGACTTTAAAGCAGGGTTGAACATTGGGCTAGACTTTAAAGCAGGGTTGAACATTGGGCTAGACACTAAAGCAGGGTTGATACGACAGGACAAGAGAACCACGTGACAATACACATGAGCCACGTGACAATACAAGGGAGCCACGTGACTGGATGAGGGAGTCACGTGACTGTATGAGGGAGACACTGCCATGTCGTAAAGCAATCGAAAATGAATACAAATCGTTCTTTAAAATCGACACCCGTATGTTTATAATTCATCCCTCATGTATCATGTCGGGTCGCATTTATTTTTCCATGTCCCATTCTTTCATACATTCTACTTGTTTGGAGTGGTAGTAGTTGGGCGATCATGCTTCATTTCATTAGGTTATTAATGGCATCATTAGGTTATTAATGGCACTTTAAGGAGGATAACAATATCCGAAGGGTATTACTTCCCTTTAGCGGGGCGCATGTTATGAATAATTAAAATGGGACAAGGTCAGCAGACGACTGACGAGAACTGAACCAGTTCCCTCGACTGACGAGAACTGAACCAGTTCCCCCGACTGACGAGAACTGAACCAGTTCCCCCGACTGACGAGAACTGAACCGGTTCCCTCGACTGACGAGAACTGAACCGGTTCCCTCGACTGACGAGAACTGAACCGGTTCCCCCGACTGACGAGAACTGAACCAGTTCCCTCGACTGACGAGAACTGAACCAGTTCCCTCGACTGACAAGAACTGAACCAGTTCCCCCGACTGACGAGAACTGAACCAGTTCCCTCGACTGACGAGAACTGAACCAGTTCCCTCGACTGACGAGAACTGAACCAGTTCCCTCGACTGACGAGAACTGAACCAGTTCCCTCGACTGACGAGAACTGAACCAGTTCCCTCGACTGACAAGTTCAAGAAGAATCCAGAAAACTGGTTTGAAGACATCAGAGCTTGGACCAAATGGTTTCTCACGCTCTAGGCCTCGATATTTTTCTCTTCATTGTACTGTACTGACGTCTATTGCACCTTACTGACTGACTAACTGACCTACTTCTGATGTACCTTACTGACTGACTGACTAACTGACCTACGTCTGATGTACGGCACTGACTGACCAACGTCTGTTAGAGTCAGTACTTCCATATACGCGGTGGTGGTTGGTGCTGATAACAAAACGTGCTTACACTAAACTCAACATTGTTGTCAAATAAATTCTTTGGCAATTAAGTGTTTATAGAATAAGTTTATCAATAATTATAGGGCTGGTAAGTAGGTCACAAAATAGTCCTATGGCTCATGCAGGTTTTATTGAGCCGTAGAACTGGACTTACCAGCCCTATAAGGGCTTACGTCATATTGTATCAAATAGGCAAGGCGTGGCCTTGGGAAGGTTAGGAAAGTTTGGGAACGTTTGGGGGAGACGTTGGGAACGTTTGGCGGAGCTTAAGTTTGAGGGAGGTTAGGAACGTTTGGGGGAGTTTGGGAACGTTTGGGGGAAGCTTAATTTAGAGGGAGTCTGAGAACGTTTGGGGGAGTTTGGGAACGTTTGGGGGAGTTTGGGAACGTTTGGGAAGTTTGGGAACGTTTGGGGGAGTTTGGGAACGTTTGGGAAGTTTGGGAACGTTTGGGGGAGTTTGGGAACGTTTGGGAAGTTTGGGAACGTTTGGGGGAGTTTGGGAACGTTTGGGAACGTTTGGGGGAGTTTGTGGGAACGTTTGGGAAGTTTGGGAACGTTTGGGGGAGTTTGGGAACGTTTGGGAAGTTTGGGAACGTTTGGGGGAGTTTGGGAACGTTTGGGAAGTTTGGGAACGTTTGGGGAGTTTGGGAACGTTTGGGAAGTTTGGGAACGTTTGGGGGAGTTTGGGAACGTTTGGGGGAGTTTGGGAACGTTTGGGGGAGTTTGGGAACGTTTGGGGGAGTTTGGGAACGATTGGGGGAGTTTGGGAACTTTTGGGGGAGTTTAAGTTTGAGGGAGGTTGGAAAAGTTTGGAGGAGCTTAAGTTTGAGGGAGTTTGGAAAGTTTGGGGGAGTTTAAGTTTGAGGGAGGTTGGGAAAGTTTGTGGGAGTTTAAGTTTGAGGGAGTTTGGGAAAATTTGGGGGAGTTTTAGTTTGAGGGAGTTTGGGAAAATTTGGGGGAGTTTTAGTTTGAGGGAGTTTGGGAAAGTTCGGGGGAGTTTTAGTTTGAGGGAGTTTGGGAAAGTTTGGGGGAGCTTAAGTTTGAGGGAGTTTGGGAAAGCTTAGGGGAGCTTAAGTTAGAGGAATTTTTGGAACGTTTGGGGGAGCTTAAGTTTGAGGGAGTTTGGGAAAGTTTGGGGAAGCTTAAGTTTGAGGGAGTTTGGGAAATTTTGGGGGAGCTTAAGTTTGAGAAAGTTTGGGAAAGTTTGGGGGAGTTTTAGTTTGAGGGAGTTTGGGGAAGTTTGGTGGAGTTTGGGAACGTTTGGGGGAGTTTGGAAAGTTTGAGGGAGCTTAAGTTTGAGGAAGTTTGGGAACGTTTGTGGCAGCTTAAGTTTGAGGGAGTTTGGGAAAGTTTGGGGGAGCTTAAGTTTGAGGGAGTTTGGAAAGTTTGGGGGGAGTTTAAGTTTGAGAAAGTTTGGGAAAGTTTGGGGGAGTTTAAGTTTGAGAAAGTTTGGGAAAGTTTGGGGTTGTTTTAGTTTGAGGGAGTTTGGGGAAGTTTGGTGGAGTTTGGGAACGTTTGGGGGAGTTTGGAAAGTTTGAGGGAGCTTAAGTTTGAGGAAGTTTGGGAACGTTTGGGGCAGCTTAAGTTTGAGGGAGTTTGGGAACGTTTGGGGGAGTTTGGGAACGTTTTGGGGAGTTTGGAAAGTTTGGTTGAGCTTAAGTTTGAGGGAGTTTGGGAACGTTTGGGGGAGATTAAGTTTGAGGGAGTTTGGGAAAGTTTGGGGGAGCTTAAGTTTGAGGGAGTTTGGGAACGTTTGGGCGAGTTTGGGAACGTTTTGGGGAGTTTGGAAAGTTTGGTTGAGCTTAAGTTTGAGGGAGTTTGGGAACGTTTGGGGGAGATTAAGTTTGAGGGAGTTTGGGAAAGTTTGAGGGAGCTTAAGTTTGAGGGAGTTTGGGAAAGTTTGGGGGAGTTTGGGAACGTTTGGGGGAGTTTGGGAACGTTTGGGGAGCTTATGTTTGAGGGAGTTTGGGAAAGTTTGGGGGAGTTTAAGTTAGAGGGAGTTTGGCAACGTTTGGGGGAGTTTGGGAACATTTGGGGGAGACGTTTGGGAGAGACGTTTTGAGGGGTTTAAGTTTGGGGAGTTTGGGAAAGTTTGGTTACTTGGTGCAGTTGCACATTTTTAGTAATGAAATCCCGTATTTTGAAAACCGCTGACTGAAATAACGAGCACGTTTGACCCTTACACTAAGATTTTCTATCGAATATTTCGTTACAATTTTTGTTTTATGTTTTGCCTAATAATTACTAGATGTATTATCAAACCGTTTTCAAAACACTTGATGGCCGATAAAAGCAAACATGTTCCGACTGCAGGTTCAATATTTGTCAGTTAAATCCTCCCCGTACTTGCGGTGTAAATTCAGGTCAGATCATTGTCCCAACATTTTTAAGAGTGTGATCCCGCGCTTTTTCAAATCGTCTGTTGCGGAGTTTGACTCCCGCCGATGCGCGCTAACTCCTATCAACAGCGCATCACGCTGTTGTTCCTTATCGTAAGATACGCAGAATCTGTGCTCGTCTATTGATAGAAATCTCCATAAAAGTACATGTCAGCGTGTACTCTAACGACCATCCCAGCACCAAACTTTCCTCTAACGCTGGAGTGTGCTCGCCCTCTAGTGCTTGTGTGGGCATGCATACAAACAACAACAATTATTGAATTTCCATTTATCTATTTGCGTCAATTGTTCACAAACAAGACAAAGAAATCGTGGAAATTTCTGCGACAACCCCTCATCCCTAGATGTGGTCTGTCATTCTTGCCAAGACTACTGCTCAGATTCGGGATGAGGTTAATTACATATTTTTTCCTAAATCAATTAGTATTTTTGTACTGTCTTTACCAATGTGTTTTCACTCCTATTGAATGAGCAATGACGCATGCACACGTTTTTTAACCTTGTTTTCACGTTGACCAATTTCTGAGTCGTAGTAACTTTGAGCGGTGAGACTCTAATACATTCACCGAGTTTTCTTCCAATCACCAAACGACACTCTAGATTTTTTGTTATTTTTAGTAGAGGGATAAAAAAAAAACAAGGTCAGGGGTGAAGTGTCACATAGCTAGAATGTAAACAACAGGTTTTTGCGCGTTTCATTCAAACAGTTGCGACAACATGGTGAGCCCAGCGAGCTGCTTCATCTCGTCACCATACAACTCGGGGACGTTCATGGCGGGCTCTTCATGCAGGGCTCTTCATGCAGGGCTCAGCTGCAGGGCTCATGGTGCTTCTATACTATTTCTTGACCCTGAACACCATTGGCTGACACCCAGACTAATGTGCGTCGTGCATTGTGGCGATGTTGGAAGATGGGCTGCGTGTCTCCGTTAGCTCAGATAGACGGGTTGGTGGTTGTCGTAACGGGCTGGTGGTTGGCGTGACGGGTTGGTGGTTGACGTGTTGACTCGCCTAGCACATGAGTACATCTAATACCACAGCAACATATCAAATTTGGTTAGTGCATTTAATTTCATTGAATTAAAAACAAGCAAAAAATAAAGAAACAGTAATTGATGTTCTTGATGAAAATACCAACCAATTTTCAACCAGTTCTATCTTCTGAGAGATTCACGCTGCAAATGTTTCTAGACGCCCTATACAGCTAGCCCGTGTTAGAGCTTTACACAAACAAAAGTAATAAAATGTAGCTAGATGTAAATTTGTAGACACTATTGAGGTTAATTTTATTTACATCATTAGAATCCTTTGTAAAACTGCTATTTGAATGTTTGCATAATATGTATTAAATCATTCGATATATTTGAACACTTGTTTACATTATCTTAGAACATGTTACCATTAATTTTTCACGATTTCAACATATTACAGAGATAGTCTTAAATTGACTAACACATCAACCTTCTCATCACAATGTCTTTTTTTCTTTGCCAGTTCTGAAAACACACAGAAAATGGTCGTTTGATTTAGATCAACACAGCAGGTTATCCAAGTTTTACTTTCTAGCTAATTTGGTGGCAGACATACGCGTATTAGGCAAACAATTGGAGGAAGTTCGCCCATTAGAGTACCTTGATGCCATCCCATTTAACGAGGGAACGGAGCTAGAAATACTTGCAAGAAGTGCCCAAACAACGACAGCACTCAGTAAAGTAAGTAGCAATTGGTGCGACCCAAGTTAAACACATGCGGTCTGTCCTGATGGATCAACACAGAGCTCCCGAGAAGAATCCAGTCCCTGGTAATGAGATGTCTACACAGACTGCTAGAGATTGCATACAGCGATCACATAACTAATGCAGACGTCAAGGACAGGCTTACAGTGCCATTGGTCCCTTTGACAGTCTACTGAACACAGTCAAAACAAGAAAACTGAGATGGTTGCGGCACACACACGAACGACTAATCCAAAACAATAATGCAAGCACTGATTCAGGGAGAATAAGAAAGGGAAGGCCTGCCACAGGATGGAGGACATCAAAGATTGAACTGGGCGCCACTGGATGGAGGACATCAAAGATTGAATTGGGCGCCACTGGATGGAGGACATCAAAGATTGAATTGGGCGCCACTGGATGGAGGACATCAAAGATTGAATTGGGCGCCACTGGATGGAGGACATCAAAGATTGAATTAGGCGCCACTGGATGGAGGACATCAAAGACTGAACTGGGCGCAACAGGATGGAGGACATCAAAGATTGAATTGGGCGCCACTGGATGGAGGACATCAAAGATTCAACTGGGCGCCACTGGATGGAGGACATCAAAGATTGAATTGGGCGCCACTGGATGTAGAACATCAAAGATTGAACTGGGCGCCACTGGATGGAGGACATCAAAGATTCAACTGGGCGCCACTGGATGGAGGACATCAAAGATTCAACTGGGCGCCACTGGATGGACCATCACTATGTTGCTATGTGAATGACCATTCGTATTTTGCTATGTGAGTGACCATTCATAAGTTCTACGTTAGAGACCATTCATATGTTGCTATGTAAGGGACAATTCATATGTTGCTATGTTATAAACCATTCATATTTTGCTATGTTAGAGACAATTCATATGTTGCTATGTAAGGGACAATTCATATGTTGCTATGTTAGAGACCATTCATATTTTGCTATGTTAGAGACCATTACTATGTTGCTATGTTAGTGACCATCATATGTTCTACGTTAGAGACCATTCATATGTTGCTATGTAAGGGACAATTCATATGTCGCTATGTTAGAGACCATTCATATGTCGCTATGTTAGAGACCATTCATATGTTGCTATGTTAGAGACCATTCATATGTCGCTATGTTAGAGACCATCACTATGTTGCTATGTTAGAGACCATTCATATGTCGCTATGTTAGAGACCATTCATATGTTGCTATGTTAGAGACTATCACTATGTTGCTATGTTAGAGACCATCACTATGTTGCTATGTTAGAGACCATTCATATGTTGCTATGTTAGAGACTATCACTATGTTGCTATGTTAGAGACCATTCATATGTTGCTATGTAAGAGACCATTCATATGTTGCTATGTAAGAGACCATTCATATGTTGCTATGTTAGAGACCATTCATATGTTGCTATGTTAGAGACTATCACTATGTTGCTATGTTAGAGACCATTCATATATTGCTATGTTAGAGACCATTCATATGTTGCTATGTTAGAGACCATTCATATGTTGCTATGTTAGAGACTATCACTATGGTGCTATGTTAGAGACCATCACTATTTTGCTATGTTAGAGACCATTCATATGTCGCTATGTTAGAGACCATTCATATGTTGCTATGTTAGAGACTATCACTATGTTGCTATGTTAGAGACCATTCATATGTTGCTATGTTAGAGACTATCACTATGTTGCTATGTTAGAGACTATCACTATGTTGCTATGTTAGAGACCATTCATATGTTGCTATGTAAGAGACCATTCATATGTTGCTGTGTTAGTGACCATCATATGTTCTACGTTAGAGACCATTCATATGTTGCTATGTTAGAGACCATTCATATGTCGCTATGTTAGAGACCATTCATATGTCGCTATGTTAGAGACCATCACTATGTTGCTATGTTAGAGACCATTCATATGTTGCTGTGTTAGTGACCATCATATGTTCTACGTTAGAGACCATTCATATGTTGCTATGTAAGGGACAATTCATATGTCGCTATGTTAGAGACCATTCATATGTTGCTATGTTAGAGACCATCACTATGTCGCTATGTTAGAGACTATCACTATGTTGCTATGTTAGAGACCATCACTATGTTGCTATGTTAGAGACCATTCATATGTCGCTGTGTTAGTGACCATCATATGTTCTACGTTAGAGACCATTCATATGTTGCTATGTAAGGGACAATTCATATGTCGCTATGTTAGAGACCATTCATATGTCGCTATGTTAGAGACCATTCATATGTTGCTATGTTAGAGACCATTCATATGTTGCTATGTTAGAGACCATCATATGTTCTACGTTAGAGACCATTCATATGTTGCTATGTAAGGGACAATTCATATGTCGCTATGTTAGAGACCATTCATATGTTGCTATGTTAGAGACCATTCATATGTCGCTATGTTAGAGACCATTCATATGTTGCTATGTAAGAGACCATTCATATGTTGCTATGTTAGAGACTATCACTATGTTGCTATGTTAGAGACCATTCATATGTCGCTATGTAAGAGACCATTCATATGTTGCTATGTTAGAGACTATCACTATGTTGCTATGTTAGAGACCATTCATATGTTGCTATGTTAGAGACCATCACTATGTTGCTATGTTAGAGACCATTCATATGTTGCTATGTAAGAGACCATTCATATGTTGCTATGTTAGAGACCATCACTATGTTGCTATGTTAGAGACTATCGCTATGTTGCTATGTTAGAGACCATTCATATGTTGCTATGTTAGAGACCATCACTATGTTGCTATGTTAGAGACCATTCATATGTTGCTATGTAAGAGACCATTCATATGTTGCTATGTTAGAGACCATCACTATGTTGCTATGTTAGAGACTATCGCTATGTTGCTATGTTAGAGACCATTCATATGTCGCTATGTAAGAGACCATTCATATGTTGCTATGTTAGAGACTATCACTATGTTGCTATGTTAGAGACTATCACTATGTTGCTATGTTAGAGACTATCACTATGTTGCTATGTAAGAGACCATTCATATGTCGCTATGTTAGAGACTATCACTATGTTGCTATGTTAGAGACCATTCATATGTCGCTATGTAAGAGACCATTCATATGTTGCTATGTTAGAGACTATCACTATGTTGCTATGTTAGAGACCATTCATATGTTGCTATGTTAGAGACCATTCATATGTTGCTATGTTAGAGACCATCACTATGTTGCTATGTAAGAGACCATTCATATGTTGCTATGTTAGAGACTATCACTATGTTGCTATGTTAGAGACCATCACTATGTTGCTATGTTAGAGACTATCACTATGTTGCTATGTTAGAGACCATTCATATGTTGCTATGTTAGTGACCATCATATGTTCTACGTTAGAGACCATTCATATGTTGCTATGTAAGGGACAATTCATATGTCGCTATGTTAGAGACCATTCATATGTCGCTATGTTAGAGACCATCACTATGTTGCTATGTTAGAGACC